CCCCCGCTGCTGCTGCTGGTGCACAGGGGAAGGGCAGCAGCCTCCAGCCGAGCTGTCAGAGAGCAGCTAGCGCAGTCATGCGCACCCAGCACACCGAAACAGACTTCTGGATTTCGCCGGAAACATCACCAGCGCTCTTAGAGCTGTTTGTGTGCACGCTTGATGAGGATTCACGACCACTGCCGACACATGGATTTAGCCAAACGCGTGGTTCGCTTCGTGCCTTCCCCTGCGCAGCAGACTGCGCTACCGGGTCGGTCTCAGGGCTGTCTTCTCTACGGGGAAGAACCTCGCAGCTCACACACGTCTGGTATCGTCATGCATTCTCCATCATGCAGCCTAAACCTACCGGAGTAGGGTTCGGACTTCACTTACCAGTTAAAACCACTTTTCCCGAAACAAAAATAAGCAGAACAATTCTTGGCTTGATCATTCTGTAGATTAAGCCAGGGAACAATTCTGGCTCGTAGCTGCAGAGAAGAGAGACAGTGTTTAGACCTGCTCGCAGACACACGTTCCAGCCTTTCATCTGCAGGAACGGGCAGAGCAGACGCAGACTTTGCTGGAATTTGGGGAGAGCAGCGGCGAAGATCGGTGCGATGGTCCATACTGGGCAACCTCAGCTGCACCTGAGGCAGAGCAGCAGTGGAACACGGATGCACTTTCCCCTCTGGTGCAAGGGAACAGTCTGAAGAGAGGGCTCTAAGCTAGTCAAGACGCAGCAAGAACAAAACATGCTTATAAATATCTGAAGGGTGGGTGTCAGGAGGATGGGGCCAAGCTCTTTTCAGTGGTGCCCAGTGACAGGACAAGGGGCAATGGGCACAAACTGAGGCACAGGAAGTTCCATCTGAACAGGAGGAAGAACTTCTTCCCTCTGAGGGTGACGGAGCACTGGAACAGGCTGCCCAGGGAGGGTGGGGCGTCTCCTTCTCTGGAGATATTCAAGACCCTCCTGGACGTGGTCCTGTGCAGCCATCTCTGGGTGTCCGGCAGGGGGTTGGACTGGGTGACCCACAGAGGTCCCTTCCAACCCCTACTATTCTGTGATTCTGTGATTCTGTGATTCTGTGATTCTGTGATAAATAAGCCTTTTCTTACCTGCTGGACTGCTGGTGCGTGAGTACCAATCCTTCTAGTCTGATGGGAAATTTTACATCACAGCTGCCCACCATGTTCTGAATTTTAAAATCCAAAAATTTTGCAGGAAACCCCAGCTTCTGAACAACTCTTGCATACTTCCTTGCTGCCAGCCTAGACTGCTCTTCACTGGAGTGAGAAAAGTATATCCATTATTATTTCCTCAGCTAAGCATTACTTGAAGCAAACAGCATTAACCACAAATATTTAACTGGGAAAAAAGTCTGTGTTGGGGGGGGGGGGAAGGTCACATGCAAAATTTTTACATCCAAAATAAACAACTAGCACTGGTTTTGGTGCCAATTTTGGCACTAGGATCCTGAACACTATTAATGTTGTACTCACTGTTCCTGGGGCAGAAACAGTAAATGATAACTCCACATGTTTTGCTCTTTTAAAATATTGGCCTGAGTCACTCTAATGAGACAGGAAAACTGTTTCTTAAGTTTTTGGTGTATGACAGCTTTGAACTACTACTGCTAGAAAACGCATATTTCTATAAAAATCTGTGAACTGCTGAAATCCTCTGCTTGATTCGGCCCAGGCACTCCAACCTGGGTTTAACACAACTGTGTGGCCTTACACGCTGTTGCGGAACTCGGTTTGCTTCCGTTTTGTAAAGAGCTGAGGATCGGGTTGCTCCTAATGCAGAGCCAGACAACTTGAACTTCCAGCGTCACCGGGCAGCGAAAGCGTTTCCGGGACAGCTCGCTCTCACTCAGCCCTGCTCCTTGGCTCATTCCTTCTGGATTCCTAACAGACTTCTTCAGAGCAGAACTTCCCTCCTGCCCACCTGGAGTTAAACTTACGTTTAGTTTTCAATTCTTACGCTTCAGTGAACATGTTAAGAACAGATCAGGCTACAGGGAGCAGAGACTTGAGAGTTCTTGGCCTGTAATGAATGAAACTATTCGAATATAACATTACTCTTCCCCTGCCACCGCCCCTACAGTTTAAGCAGTTCCAGTGCACAGTCACTGCAATTTTTTGGTTACTAGGAAAAAAATAGGTAACTGCAAAGCCAAAAAAGTGAGTATAACAACCTCCGCAAGCCAGTTTCTCAGACTGTATGAAAGAGCTTCAGAAACAGAACTACCATTTCCCCTTTTGTAGGGAGGTCCTTTCAGTCACGAAAAGACATTTTGCGTAGAAACGTGTATTAATCTATTTGAAATAACTGGGAAACAACCTTAGCTGTACCTGTACAACTTTGCTGTATGTACACAAACGCTGTATGCAAATAATAATACTGCTAAAGCATCATGGTACAAGAGAAAAGACAGCCTCAATGAGTTTGCTGGAAATGCCTAAGCGTACCTTTTTGCTCCTGTGCACACCATTTTTCCAGAGCTGAAAATCAGCGCCGTAGTACGTGGTTCTCTTATTCTCATAATGACAGCAGCAAAACGCTGAAAGGTGAGCGTTGAGACTATTAGTGATATATTGCTGCAATCGTTACATTAAAACCAAATTTGCATAATCTAAGTAGCAAGTTATACAGTATTGTGAAGAAATACTAAGTTCAAAAACGTACCTACCTATCACTCAAAATTTACTCGAAGTGCTTAAACCGTGAGCAGCTTCAAACGCACAGGCTGAGAGGCACGGTCAGACAGGAGGGACATTCACCACTGCACTCCTGTTCTACTAAGCTCACCCCTCCATACTGCATAGGCAGCACACAAATAATGCCAACGTGCAACAAAGCAACGGAGACAATCTGAAATAATTTCCTCCCTGTCTTGATACCTGATCTGTTATAAGCAGGACGGAAGAATACCTAGCTGCAAATAGTTTACGATGTTTTGCTTCTGCTGTCTTCACATACTGGACACCGTTCCGCCCCCAGCCAACAGAACGGCTGGAGACCCAAGCTCTGCGCCAGCAGAAGTCACCTCAACTACCCCAGCGGCACACGGCAGCCCGGTCAGCTCTCGCTGTTCACTGCAAGCGCTGTAACATCTCTGCCTGCATCCAGACTCTTTTCAGTGGTGCCCAGCGACAGGACAAGGGGCAACGGGCACAAACTGAAGCAGAGGAAGTTCCAGCTGAACAGGAGGAAGAACTTCTTCCCTCTGAGGGTGACGGAGCCCTGGCCCAGGCTGCCCAGAGGGGCTGTGGAGTCTCCTTCTCTGGAGATATTCAAGACCTGCCTGGACAAGGGCCTGTGGAGCCTGTTTTTTTTCGTTCGGCAGGGGGCTGGACTGGGTGACCCACAGAGGTCCCTTCCAACCCCGACCATTCTGTGATCTCCAAATACTCTTAAGCTCTTGAAGCAAGAGATCCTAGAAACTGATGTGGGCGGGTGCACACGCCGACCCCTGTTTGCCCGCTCTATTTAACTCGGAGCAGCTCACGGCGCAGTCCCACGAACCGTTCTGCTGACATAACCAGGGCGGCGGCAGCGTGGGCTGCCCCACAGCCCATTTGTCAAACCACGGCTTAAATAATGCAGCCAAGCAACATCTTTCTTTGATAGAGGAACGTGCTGACTAGAAGTCAGGAGTGCGTCAGGCAACCCTTCCTTCTACCCGCGGTGGAAAACAGCACTGCGTTATTGATTATTCCTGCCTTCAGTTTTACAGAGCCGCCCACCGCTGCCGTAAGAGTCACCACAGCATGCTGAGATTCTTGCTGCACCGAAATCTTACTCACGTGCAATTGTGTAACAGCACCACTGATCTAAACCTACAGAAACCACTGATCTAAACCTACAGTAACAGCTGTCATACGCCTGCACGCGTGCTTTGTAATAGAGAGAGCAGAGTTCAGGTAAACTGTAGCAAAATCCCAAATACTGAAGCAAAACCAAACCAAACCCGCCCAGCACAGGAGAACTGAAGCCAATTCAGTGACACAGCTTCTAAACTTGTATTAGAAACTGTGTCCATCTACTGTGGCTGCAAAGATAACACTTCCAAGAGGAGCCACTCGTGTGAAAAAATGATGTGTTGTAATTTTCTTGACTGAACGCTCCAGGTCCTCTGCCGTTGTTCAAAGTTTCCTAAGCTAAAAAAAAATAGCCCATGGTTTAACAAACCGCTGTTTAGAAGCAGCAGGCAACTTAGAAGTTGACATGAAAAAAAACAAAACAATTTTATTTTGCTGTTCCACCAAACCTAGCCATCGGGAGGAAGGAGACAGCAGGAGTGCTGGGGGACAACATGAAGGAAAAGAGCTCAGAGGGGAAGCACGACTGTAAAAAACCCAGTGACTGCGCCGCGACCACAAGAATTCCAGGGGAATGGCCAGGTGGAGGAAGCCACGGCGTGTATCGAACAACCGTGGCTCTGGCAGGAGCCCAGAAGCTGAATCCTTCCTTCCCTTCTCCTGGTTGGGAGACAGGCAACGAGACTCCAGCATCAGATATTTCACAATAATGTGAAAAAGGAACTTTCTGAGCGCGGTGAGCAAACACCCTCATGTGAGTAGCAGCAAAACCCTTGGCCAGTGTATTAACACTGTTGGTTAGGTTCTTCCTAAACACGCTGTGTTCTTTCCAAAACTACCAAATTCCAATCTGGTGTAAAACACAGCTACATCACGAATAAAAATGCTTTTTACTAGTTTGACAGAATGCTCTAAGTTTATTAAAGGTTTCTTTTTTAACTACAGTATAAAGCTGTGTCTACAGTAGGAAGGTTTTTCAGTCTCTTCCAGCAAACTACACCCACAACCTGTGCCTCTGATATATCTGTTATAGGATGAACTCTGAACACATTTCTCTTACCTTGGGATTATATTCAGCATTTCGGGCACGAAGCGCAATAGTTTTTAGGTCGAGTTTGCAGCCAAGATTCACCGTGGACACAATATTCCTGAAGATAGTTCAGAGAAATACATTAAAAAGACGATAAAGAATTCATGCGTCCTCCTCATTTTTAAATGTGCCTGATTAATTTTACTTGGGTCTTTTTGTGTTTTTCTTTTAATTGTATTTATCCAAGTGAGTTTGAATGACACCTTTCCTCCTGACAGGAGCACTGAGCAGTGTTTTGGCTCAAGAACCTCCTTCTGTAAGGCAGTCGAGGGACGATTGCCGATTCCTCCTTATCGGCCAGCTACGATGAAGAGTGTCTCACGAGAAGAATCTCTCCTGCGGTTTGGCAGGAAAAATTCTTGACGCTGAGAGCCCCCACCACCACCAGGGAAGGTGCTGGAAACAGGAGAAAATGAGGCAGCAGTAGCACCACCCGAGATGTCCCTCGGTGTGCCCTGCCTGGAGGAAGAAGAGGTGGAGGACCGAGTGGGAATGACCCAGGAGGTAAACCCATTGCCAGGTGATAGGAAAGCAGGTCTCTAGGAAGTTTGAGAGAAGTTCCTAGATGCAAAATGTTCTTGGAAACTTGTTTTGTGGGAAAACCCTGAAATCTAAAGGTCCTCAACAGGGAAAAAAAATTAAATACTAGGAACTGCTGCAAAACTCGCATTATCAACCATTTCTCTTTGTGCCTTCCACAAATTCCTGTAGAAATCTCTTTAAAATGAAAGTTCAGTGAAAATACTTTGATACCTAAACCTAGGACTAGTTCTAGGGTTTTTTTTCGCCCCTTATCACAAACTCAGCTGTAGCCATGAAACAGAAAAGGGAACATGGAATATTCAGTACAGCTCAGGTCCGGCTCCTAGACAAGCAGCCAGTCCCCTCCTCTCTACCCTTCCAACTCCCTTTCAGCTGTGACCGTTTCTGTGTTCTGCTTTAACACCTCACCAAGAAAATTCTGCGCACACTGAGGTGGAGCTATTTGCTTTTCCGTGCACAGGTCACAAGTATCCGGTAAATTACAGATGAGAAAATGTTTCCAGGTATACATATTTTGAATATTCTTGCTTACCAACCCAGCCTACTCTATCGCTAAAGCATGGTGAACTCCTAAAGTGCACAGAGGTAAAAGTTACAACGCTGCTAAATGAAGACATAGATAACATCCTCTGCTGGCATGCCTAAAAGATGTGTGTTAATCAATCACTAAGAAACTGTTTATACTACTAAGCGGTAACGAAGCTAAAATAAAAGCAAAAATTAGTCATATCGCTAGAAGAGACCCACAAATTCTCAGGGCCTCCCTTCGTGCCAAAATGCAGCACCCAATTCCCGCTGCGGCTTTGGTCCTAAGTCTTCAAAGGGCTGTCTGAGAAAGGACAGGCTGCACGAACGCGTGGGACACTCACTGGAGCTGCGGCACGATCCCAGAGCTCTCGGACGCCGGTGTTGCCGGAGTTATTGGCGTCATCGGAGTCATCGGAGAGGGGTACAGAGGTGTGGTTCCCGGTAAAGGGGCTGTGGTAAGAGTCTGTGAGTGGAAGAGCTGGGGGGTTTGACCAGACGTTCCCTGCGTCGCTTGCTGCGATGTAGATTGCTGCGCTGCTTGCTGCTGCTGCTGCTGCTGCTGGTGCTGTTGTTCCTCTAGGATGGACAGACTGTTGGTGCTCTGGACAGGCTGCGGGGTCAGTCCCGTGCCGTACGGCATCATCGGGCTAAAAATTGGAATTCCTGGAGTCATTGCACCCTGGAGAAGAAAGCATAGAACAGAAACCACAGATCCTGTTGACTCCATTTTGTTTTTAAGAGAAAAAGATTGCAGCAGTCATCTAAAAATAAATCAATGTAAGTTGACCATCTAAAACCTGAGGCATATAGTAGTAACTCGCGAAAAACGGAAAGCCCTTGGAAATGCAGTTCTTCTGTAGAATAAAATATTACCCATCTGCAGTACTGTGTCCAGTTCTGGGCTCCCCAGTTCAAAAAGACGAAGAGCTACTGGAGAGAGTCCAGCGGAGGGCTACGAGGATGAGGAGGGGACTGGAGCATCTCTCCTACGAGGAGAGGCTGAGGGAGCTGGGCTTGTTCAGCCTGGAGAAGAGAAGGCTGAGAGGGGACCTTCGAAATGCCTGTAAATATCTGTAGGGTGGGTGTCAGGAGGATGGGACCAGACTCTTTCCACTGGTGCCCAGCGACAGGACAAGGGGCAAGGGGCACAAACTGAAGCAGAGGAAGTTCCAGCTGAATGTGAGGAAGAACTTCTTCAATCTGAGGGTGACGGAGCCCTGGACCAGGCTGCCCAGAGGGGCTGTGGAGTCTCCTTCTCTGGAGATATTCCAGACCCGCCTGGACAAGGTCCTGTGCAGCCTGCTCTGGGTGACCCTGCGTCGGCAGGGGGTTGGACTGGGTGACCCACAGAGGTCCCTTCCAACCCCAACCATTCTGGGATTACCACGAGGGATCTGTCAGTTCTAGCATTGCTCATCTCCAGCCAGCGATGCTGACACGCTTCTCACGCTACCTTGCAAGCCTGTCTCAACTGTGACCCACAATTTAACGTGCAATTGTTTGAACAAAGACCGTGCCCATCGTACCAACTGCGTCCACAGCACAGCCACAGTCCATTACGTACAAGTTAGTTGGACTTGACAGTCTTAGAGGTCTTTTCCAACCTTAACGATTCTACGATTCTAGTTTAAATTAAATTAATATTAGTATTAAATTAGTGTTTCCAACTTGTCAGTCATGTTTCAACTTCAGGGAATGCCATGTATCTGCACGTTTCTTACACCACTCAATATACAAATTGATGGGTTTAAAATCCTGCTTTGTCCTTGTATTATTCTACACCTAGCAGAATTTTTCAGATCTGCAAACAAAAAACCTGAAGTTACATGCAAGAAACAGAAAACACTTTCACAAAGAAATTCACATCACAGTTGCATATTAAATCATTTATTCTCACCTGAGGGGAGGCTAAGCCTTGAGCGTAGGGTGGCAAGCTGTTGTTCTGATCCATGATTCCAGTTATTTCTCTGACGAGGCCAGAAGTCTTTCCTTCAACTAATTTAAATGAACTTCAAATCCTAGAGGGTCTTCAACCCGTTAAAACATTCCAGCAAAGTAGCTTTTTCAGCCAAGCTGGAAGCTTTAGGAAAACATCAGCTCCAGAGAAACGTGTGCTACGAGTCTAAAATACTAATCAAAGCCTGGAAAGAGAAAAAGCAGTATCTTGAGAATAATACTTAAACACAAACCCAAAAGCAAATGTATCAGCTGCTGAGTCAGGTAAGATTTGCCCACGCACAAACAGACGTGAGAACGTTCACAGACGCAGAGTCCCCAAAAACCACCTTTTCCAGGCACGCTCTGCAGGACGGCTGCAGCGTGCTTCTGCCCAAGGCCTCCGTCTAACCCAGCCCTCCTGCACAAACAGCTCCGGCTGCCCACGCTCATCCTACGCCAAGCTTTGCTTTCGCTGGAAAAGCGCTGATTTTTTTTTTTTTTTTAGAATCGGTTCCCACTGACTGCTAACCGACGAGCTTACCGACACATTGCTTCCAAGTCTCTTCCTGGCAATTTTAAGGCCTGGGCTTCCCAAACTATTTTTTCTTCTAGGGAAAAGCATCAGTGGCGAAATCAGAACTAGGAAACCTTCTCTTCCTTCCGCTTCCACAAAACGAGGCACTACCACATCTCAAACAACAATTATGAGAAAAAAAGAAATCTGCGAAAGCCACTTTCAGGTGCAAAAATGAAACGTACGCGTGGTTTGGGGTTTTTTTTAACTGTATCTCTGTTTCTGTCTTGTGGAAATCGACAACACAAGTGGAGAATTTAAACATTACGCCCTGATATCAAACATGTTTCCAGTAATTTACAGCTTTCTTAACGAGGTACCTATTGCCCACAAAGACTCACGGTAATTTCTAGGCAAGAGGCAGCCCACCTCAAAATCTGAAGAAAGCTTCTTCACCCTTTATTTTCTTGTTTATTTAAGGCATGAGAGCTCAGATTTACATTAATATTTACACCGCAGCTGAAAAGCCATGCTTTTTTGCCCCCGCGACTATAAAATATTCTTATTTTTACCCCCTCTGGAGGCATCGAACAGAGCATCCAGGTTTTACAGCGTGGAGATTGGAGTGGGGGGGGTCAATCAGAAGCCTGACCATCCCCCCCCGAAGGAAGAGAGGCCTGA